CATTTTATTATCATCTTTGGAGTTTTTGTCAGGCTGTTCTTCACACTCCTTTTTAGCATTTCTTATTACATTTTTACAGTTTATTTGGCAGTGTTTATGCTCCTTACTATTTACCTTACTAGGATTTGACTTTCACTTTCTAAAAGATGTCTTTTTATCTCTCACTGCTTCTTTTACATGGTTGTTAAACCATGATGGCTCTTCTTTAGTTCTTCTATGTTTTTTCATTTGGGGTATACATTTAAGTTGTGCCTCTATTATAGTGTCTTTGAAAAGTGTCTATGCAGCTTGCAAGGATTTTAGTTTAGTCACTGTACCTTTTAATTTCTGTTTAACTAACCTCCTCATTTTTGCATAATTCCCCTTTTTGAAATTAAATGCCACAGTGTTGGGCTGCTGAGGTGTTCTTCCCACCACAGGAATGTTAAATGTTATTATATTATGGTCACTATTTCCAAGCGGTCCTGTTATAATTACCTCTTGGATCAGATACTGCACGCCACTCAGGACTAAATTGAGAATTGCCTCTCCCATTGTGGGTTCCTGTACCAGCTGCTCCAAGAAGCAGTCGTTTAAGGTATCAAGAAATTTTGTCTCTGCATCTCATCTTGAAGTCATGTGTACCCAGTCAATATGGGGATAGTTGAAATCCCCCACTATTATTGAGTTATTTATTTTGATAGCCTCTCTAATCTCCCTTAGCATTTCATAGTCACTATTACTTTCCTGGTCAGGTGGTCGATAATAGATCCCTACTGTTATATTCTTATTAGAGCAGGGAATTACTATCCATAGCAATTCTATGGAACATGTTGATTCATTTAAGATTTTTACTTCATTTGATTCTAAATTTTCTTTCACATATAGTGCTACTCCCCAACCTGCACAACTATTTCTGTCCTTCTGATATATTTTGTACCCCGGAATGATTGTGTCCCATTGATTGTCTTCACTCAACCAGGTTTCTGTGATGCCTATTATGTCAATCTCCTCCTTTAACAAGAGGCACTCTACTTCACCCATCTTATTTTTCAGACTTCTAGCATTTGTATACAAGCACTTTAAAAACTTGTCACTGTTTAGTTGTCTGCCCTTTTCCGATGTGTCTGATTCTTTTTTATGTGAATGTTTTTCATTTGATCCGGCCCACACTTTATCTTCTTCCATTCTCTCCTCCTGACTAAAACCTAGAGAATCTCTATCAATAGACTCTCCTCTAAGAGACGTCTCTGTCCGATCCATGTGCTCCTCTGCACCAATCAGCTTTCCCCCATCTCTTAGTTTAAAAACTGCTCTGTGACCTTTTTAATGTTAAGTTAAATTAATCGTGTTTTAATTTATTTAGGGTATATCTCTACTACAGAGAAGATCAAAGCTACCACTGTTGATCTTCCAGGGTTCAAATAAGTGGGTCTAGTGAAGACACACTAATATGAACTGAGAGGGGGCACTGTGGTCAATGCCAGTATTCCTGCTTCCATGAAGAGTAAGGGAAGTTGAAGGGAGAATGTTCTCACTTCAACTTCCTTCAGTGTGGACAGTGCCAAAAGTCGAATTAAGGTACTTTGACTTCCTCTGCGCAATTAACATAACTGAAGTTGTGTATCTTAATTCAACCTTATTTGTAGTATAAACATACCCTTATGGTCAATCTCGATTAGGAAAAAGATGCCTTGTAAAACTGAGTTAAGTAACTCGAGTTAGCTACCTAACTTAAAAAAAATTTACGTACTTAACTTGATTGAATACACACACTTTTTCATAGTCCAGACCTGGCTTTATGAATTCATTAAAAAATATGATTTTAAAGTCAATTAAGTGGCTTTTATTTATGGTATGCACCCAGGATGTGTTATTTTAATTGGCCTATGTTCTGTTTCACATCTATATTTTTTGCAGTAATAAATACAACATAGCATCATTTTTATAATGTAATTAAAATAAACACAAGGTGAATTCTTTAAAGGCAGAGAAATCTTGTAATGTGGAATTACATCATGGTGGGCTATACCATAGAAAGTGAGCTTGGCTCTATGGTTCAGACTTTGAACCTGGTATTTATGGTGGTTCAAATAATTACAGCTACTGTGGTCTCAGAATGTGTTCTTCGGTAATGGACTTTTTTTAATGGTACAAAAATAGAAATATAGTGCAAATGGAAAATATATAAGAAAGGCAGTGAAACGTAGGCCTGGCTTGACACGAGTAATTAAACACGGGAGAGGCTTCGTTTCTTGGAAGACATGATTAGGGAGGTAACTAGATCAGCAGGCTGAAAACAAAATGTTTGTTTCAGAGTAAATAAGTGAGTCAGGCAACTAAAACACAGGATGTCAGAGCTAGCTAAGAAATGAGAGGGACCATTCAGGGAACCATTTACAAAGAATAAGGATAAAAACACACACACATCCCTAGCCTGGCTGCTGCTGGTTGCACAGCACTGAAAT